ATTTTCACAATGTGTCTACCTCAGAACCTCTGCATCCATTCTTACGATCCAGAATTCCCAAGAGAAAGTGAAAATGTGCAACTCAGGAAGATCTGCACCAAGGAAGCTACCAAGGGTCTAATTTGGTCACAGTCTTTACATGGAAACATATGATCTCTTTCCAAAGAGAAGAGAATATGGAATGAAAGAAACTGCTGCATTATTCTATCTCAAACCCTCACATTACCAGGAATTAATAAGGCTGAGAAAACTGTCTGGATTGTTTGCTAAAAAGGAAGCTGTAGAATGAAGATTGCAAAAATAAAGAATCAAGTTTAAACTCTGATTTAACTCTAAGTAGTGATCTTTGCTGGGGATGAAGTTGAAGGGGACCCAAGAGGCCAAATTAAGGGTGGGTTTGTTTCTTACTCTTATATGTTTCCCCGGGGGCCACCACCATGAGTGTTGCTTCAGCATGAAGTCAAGCACTGGTCTGAAAAGTGTCTGGGTTGAATATCCGTGGTTCAGCTGCTAAGAACTTAGGAGGGAAGGTTTCCTGCGTATGGCCACATGGGAAGGAGAAGTGTATGGTTGGAGACACTCAGATGAACATGGTATCCAAGGATTAAATCAGGAGATGAAGGGAAAATCACAGAAGAGTGACCCTGGGTTCCCTCCTGTGACTGAGTTTGCAAGGACTGAAACTTGATTCACAGGGCATAGTAAAGCAGTTTTTCATCTCCCCTCTTACACTCCAAGTTAAACAAATTAAAAGTAAACACAAGTTTATATTTATAGGGACTTAAGATATACTTTAAAAATATCTCCATAAAATATGAGGAAATAATAAATTGATAGATGATGTTTAGATCAACTGCCCATAGGAAAATAAATCAGTAAATAAAACAAAACACAAAAATCTATCATGCCCAGAATTAGAATTCAGGTGACTAAATGCATTAAAGTGAAGAAGATAAAACTGTATTACCCAGATTTGAGTAAAGACTTCTGCAAGTTTTCCCAAACAATAAGAGAAACATTTTATGAGCACGCATCAAAATGAAGCATAGAAATTGTAGCAAAAACATGACACAATGTGACATTTAAAACCAACCAGGAATGTGGATTAGAATATACAGAGAACTCAAAACCAACACGGCCAGAAAACTGACAGAAAGATTGGGAAGTGATAGGAATAAGCAGTCCACATATAGAGAAGCCCAAATGGCCAACATGTAGAGAGAAGTTCTATCTCACTAGCGATCAGAGATATACAAAACATTGAACACCACTTGATCAGAATGGCAACACTTTTTTTTTTTTTTTTGACAGGCAGAGTGGACAGTGAGAGAGAGAGAGAGAGAGAAAGGTCTTCCTTTGCCGTTGGTTCACCCTCCAATGGCCGCTGCGGCTGGCATGCTGCGGCCAGTGCGCTGCGCTGATCCGAAGGCAGGAGCCAGGTGCTTCTCCTGGTCTCCCATGCCGGGTGCAGGGCCCAAGCACTTGGGCCATCTCCACTGCTCTCCCAGGCCATAGCAGAGAGCTGGACTGGAAGAGGGGCAACCGGGACAGAATCCGGCGCCCCAACCGGGACTAGACCCGGGGTGATGGCGCCGCAGGTGGAGGATTAGCCAAGTGAGCCGCGGCGCCAGCCAACACTTTTTTTTTTTTTTTTTTAAAGATTTATTTACTTGAAAGACAGAGTACAGAGAGAAAGGGAGAGACAGAGAAACATCTTGTATCTGCTGGTTCACTCCCCAGATGGCCACAAAGGCCAAAAGTCTAGGTCAGGCCAAATCCAGGAGCCTGGAACGCCATCCAAGCCTCCCATATGGGTCGCAGGGTCTTACTTACTTGGGCCATCCTCTTCTGATTTTCCAGGTGCTTTAGAGGGAGCTGGATCAGAAGTGAAGCAGCCAGGACTCAAACTGGTGCTCATATGGGAGGCCAGGTCTCAGGCTGCAGCTTAACCCACTGTCCACGCTGCTGGCCCCAACACTTTATCCAAAGACATATAAATCTCAGTTAGAGGTGGAAATAGGAATATGAGAATCCATAGTTCTTCTGGAGCAAGTATAAACTATGTTTTTCGACAAGCATCTTGTGAAACTTTTTCAAGTCTTAGATGGAGTCACTTGTGGACAAATGTCCCAAAGAAATTCTCAGTTCCACAAACGGACATCAAGAATATTCATTCTGGTTCTTTTGCTACCAGGGAGGTGGAGGCATTGCCCACGCCACCCTCTAGTGGGCATTTCTGGATTATACAGTCTGGAAAGCTAAAAAGGACATTTCCTAGACACTTCCACAGCTCAGGTGCTGAAGAGCTTAGTTCAGCCGATCATGTTCAGTCCTGTGAGATTAGAGGGCAGAAAGGTGATTTTGCCCCTGCTGCCTTGCTATTGGCAAGCACTGCCAATAGGTCTGATTTTGCTGTGCTAGTGTTAGCAAAGGGTCCAGTGACAAGGTTCTGATTGAATGGCAAGGAGCAGAGTACTGGAATCCGTGTTTGCTGGGTGGGTGGCAGCTGGAGTAGTGTGATTCTGGCGCAGGATCAGCGAGCAGCTGTTTCCTGTTCAGAGCAATCTCAAGGCAGTAGGAAGCACCAAAGTACACTTGCTTTTCATGACTTTAAATTTATTATTATCATTAATGTTGTTTAAAAGGCAGAGAGAGAGAGAGAGAGAGGGAAATAGGGAGAGAGGAAGAGAGAGAGAGAGAGAGAGAGAGAGAGAGAGAGAGAGAGAGAGAGAGAACCATCCACTGGTTCACTCCCCAAATGCCCACAACAGCTGGGGGCTGGGTCAAGTGGCAGCTGCTTTCTGGGAACTCAATCTGGATCCTCCACATGTGTGGTAGGTATTAAAGTACCTGTACTATCACCACCCACTATCACTCAAGATGCCCTTTCTCAGGGAGCTAGAATCAGAAATGAGTAGGGACTCAGATCTTGGGTCTCTAATATGGAATACTCACCCATAAAATTATCCTTCAAGTTCATTTTCCATGAACTTTTTGAAGTCCCCTCATATTAGAAGAGAGAACAGATTCCTTGGTGGCTTGGGAACCTTTCCTCAAGTGTGACCTAGTGTCTGCTGTTTTCAGCATTCTCAATGATTCTGGAATGCATCCCTTCTGCTTAAATTAGATGTTGCACTTAAATTAGATGTTTGCACCCAACCCAAAGCCTGACTGATTGCACCAGGATGCCAGAAAGTTGTTGATATTCTCCTATTGTAAATTTTGCAAAGGTCACTTGCCCTTAAAGTCCCATCTCAAGCCTTCCTTCCATTAGACTGATTCTCACACACACAGCTGAACATCTCACAGGGCTTTGCAGTTGTAGGTACTTGCTAACTTCCCTTTTTTTTTTTTTTTTTATTAGAACAGTAACTCTTTGAGGCCAGGGAGATGATCTGCCTCATCTTTGAAATCAGAATTGCAGCCATGCGCCCTAACTAACTCATGGCCTTTGCACTTTCTGTACCCGCGCCTGAAAATCTCTTCTATACCCTTCCCTCTCATTAACTCTAAAACCTGATTCAGGTAAGTTGTCCTGATCTATACTGTTCATTCTATTACTCACTTGGCTTTTGTGGCTATTTACATTTATATTAATTTAGCTTAAATAAAAATTTATTGTGGACCTTGAAGGCAGTGGGGAGGCTCAAGTACTTGGGCACCTGTCACCCTTGTAGAAGACCTAGATGTAGAAGATGTAGAAGACCTGGCCCCTGGTTTTGGCCTGACCCAGCCCCAGCCATTCTTGAAATTTGGGGACTGAACCAATGGAGACTTTCTCTCTCTCTTTCTCTCTCTCTCTCTCTCTCTCTCTCTCTCTCTGCCTCTGCTTCTCTATAACTCTGCCTTTCAAATAAGTCAATAAATCTTTTTTTAAAATGGGGGGTCAGTGTTTTGGCATAGCAAATAAGGCCTCCTCCTGTGATGCTGGCATCCCATAAATGTGCCAGTTCAAGTCCCAACTTCTCCACGTCTGATCCAGCTCCCTACTTATGTGTCTGAGAAAGTGGGGGGAGAACGTCTGAGTATTTCGGAGACCCCGATGAAGCTCCTGGCTCCTGGCTTTGTCCTGGCCCAGTGCTAGTCATTGCAGTAGTCAACACTCCATCTGGGAAGTGAACCAATGGATGAAAATCTCTTTCTCCCTGTAACTGTTTCCAAAAAAATAAATATTTTTTAAAAAGTTGCTTTAGGTGTGGGTATTTGGCATAGTAGTTGAATCTTTGCTTGGGATGCTGCCATCCCATAACCTAATTTCTGGCTCAAGTCCCAGCCTTTCTGCTTTTGATCCAGATTCCTGCTAATATGCACTCTAGTGGCAGAAGATGATGGCTCAAGTACTTGGGTACCTGTCACTCATGTGGGAGACCTGGATGGAGTTCTGGGTTCCTGGCATCAGCCTGGCCCAGTCTTGCCTACTGTGGGCATTTGGGGAGCAAGTGAGCAGATGTGAGACCTCTTTCTCTTTCTCTTTCTCTTTCTCTTTCTCTTTCTCTTTCTCTTTCTCTTTCTCTTTCTCTTTCTCTTTCTCTTTCTCTCTCTCTCTCTCTCTCTCTCTCTCTCTCTCCTTTTGTGTGTCTCTGCCTTTCAAATCAAATGAACATAAGTTAATTAATTTTTTAAGATAAGTAGAAGTGAGAAGTCAGTCATCAGGAATACTGATTACATTTTTAAGATAAATGTATGTGGGCCTGCTGTACTGAACCAAATAGAATACAGTGGATTTATGGAGACACAAAGACTTGTGCATTCAAATTTCAAACCACTTTCTTTTCATAAATTAAAAGGTCAATAATATCTAACTAGTGGCCCTGTTACTTTGATAATATTAAAAGAATGATATTAGAATTTCAAACTGTGAGACATATATTTTGAAAAAGCATTTTGCATTATTCTAGCTTGTCGTGATCAACTTAAACTAAAGGATGTCAGTCATAACGAAAAGACATACTTGTAACAATAAGAAATAATTTCATACATTTAGAATTATAGTCATTAAATTTTTATTTTGCACTGTAATAAGAGAAATTAAAATATGCAAATTTATTCTTTTATTAGTTACGCAATAACATACTTGGAAAAGAATAAACAATAGAACTAGATTAATTAAAAGAGCTCTCAAATGAATAAAAGCAGAATCAAAAGAAACAGTTAAAATTGCAATTGTCGCAGATGGCACTGGATTACACATCAAGCTTGGTATCATTAGAAATCCTTGCACTTGGCAATCTTAATAGCGGTTGGAAAAGTTAGCAGCAAGTAGTACTGTTGCCCAGCATCGTTGCTCTGGCACTGCTAGAGCAGTGCTCGGATCGCATCTGTTGTCATTGGGATTTAGCTTTCACTAACACATCCACGTCAGCTTTGTCTGCTTCGCCAAGACTTTTGTGATGGCTGTCAACTGAGACATTGTCTTCCTTTTTTCGAGGCCTCTGGGAACCCCCTTCTCTGGGAGCTAGAGGAACTCTGAGGCCAATAAAATTGTGCACCTCCTGCATCTTCTTCCGCAGCCATTCTACCCTCTCCATCACTGTGAGATGTTTGCCCAGGCTGTGCATGAACTGTATTTCACTCACAGCTCTCTTCCTGGGAGAGAAGAGAAGAGAGGGTCATCCCATGAGCACTCCGCTTCCATATCATAAAGCCAGCCTTAACAATGCAGTTCCCATGCCCTCACCATGAAGAATGGGCCACAGTACTTACTGCACAGGTTTCCCATCCAATTTGGCAAGAAAACAAATTGCAAACATGACAATCATTACTTTAGCCATGTCTTGAGCAGACATCATCTTCTCTAAAAGGAAAGCAAAATAGAGACATTTTAACATGTTTTTCATATTTCAAACTATATAAATACATATTTGTAGCTTACCTTAATAACCATACCACACACACAGCATGACACTGGGTTGGTTTCCATGAGAGCCTTTTGGAATCAGTCTCTATTTTATGGATATGTTAGTACAAATACAAATATTTGATATAGAATTTAGATTAGGGATGCTTTCTTAGTATATTTCTGAGATTTTTTTGCACATTTTAGTATGTGAATTTTCAGCAATGAGAAGATGAAAGATCTTAGTTTTGAGAATTTCCTCTCACATTTTATGTTGGTTATTCCTAGATGGTTATAATTTGCTTGAAAATGGCTAATTCTCTTAATTAGGTAAATTGTCAACACTGTTTATTTACTTAGCCAATCCTTTTTTCATAGGTAAACTTCTTTTCAGGTACTACAATGATAACTCTAAATACCAAATTAATAAGCTCTGATTTAGAGTTTTTTTGAATTAACACACACTTCCCCTGGCATTGAAAAGACTGTCACAGCATTTAAATATCATAGAATTAGGGCCGGTGCTGCGGCTCACTAGGCTAATCCTCCACCTTGCGGCGCCGGCACACCGGGTTCTAGTCCCGGTCGGGGCGCTGGATTCTGTCCCGGTTGCCCCTCTTCCAGGCCAACTCTCTGCTGTGGCCAGGGAGTGCAGTGGAGGATGGCCCAAGTGCTTGGGCCCTGCACCCCATGGGAGACCAGGAGAAGCACCTGGCTCCTGCCATCAGATCAGCACGGTGCGCCGGCCACAGTGCGCTGGCCGCGGCGGCCATTGGAGGGTGAACCAACGGCAAAGGAAGACCTTTCTCTCTGTCTCTCTCTCTCACTGTCTACTCTGCCTGTCAAAATAAATAAATAAATAAATATAATAGAATTGTTTATTATGTGTATTTCAAGCTTCAGTTCTTAATAAAATGCTTATCTGAATTTATTTTTCCAATTCATTTTATTAGGAACTATTTTTAAAAATTTATTTATTTGGAAGGCAGAGTTCCAGAGACAGAAAAAGATCTTCCATCCACTGTTTCGTTCCCCAAATGGGGGCTGGGCCAGGCTGAAGCTGGGAGCCAGGAGGTTCACTGGAGTTTCCCACATGGGTGCACTTGGGCCATCTGCTGCTGCATACCCAGGCACATTAGTAGGGAGCTAGACCAGAAGTGGAACAGCTGGGACTCATGTCACCCGTGGGGTATGTCAGCATCGCTGGCCATGGCTTAACCCACTACGCCACAACACCAGCCCTAGCAGCTATGTTTTAGCAAAATTTTAGCACCTCTTTTTGCTCAATAAACTTCTTATTTCACTATAAAATAGTCATGCCTTAATCTGCATTTCAATCATTGCAAATGCTGTTACTATAGAAGTTCTTCTAAAAGCTCAGAGATCTACCTTCCAACATACACATGGAGGAGTGTGGTACTTCTACTTTGAAGAGAAACTATATCATTTAGAAATAATGTAACAAACATAAAAGCCTGCCACATTTCTGTTCACTATATAATAATATGGGGGCAGTAAAGGAACTTTTTCGTTTAGGTTAGAAACATGCCAGGTAGCAGGAGGACAGCAACACTGGTTTCTAATCCTGGCTCTGTCACATTCAGCTACGACCTCTGACATCTCTCTGTTTTGCTTCTTTGCTCTTAATGGGGGAGATAGGCTTCTTAGAAGAATATCACAGGGGCCAGCGCTCTGGCACAATGGGTTAATGCCCTGGCCTGAAGCGCCAGCATCCCATATGGGTGCCGGTTTGAGACCTGGCTGCTCCACTTCCTATCTAGCTCTCTGCTATGGCCTGGGAAAGCAGTAGAAGATGGCCCAAGTCCTTGGGCCCCTGCATCTGCGTAGGAGACCCAGAAGCAGCTCCCAGCTCTTGGCTTTGGATGGGCACAGCTCCAGCCGTTGTGGCCAATTGGGGAGTGAACCAACAGATGGAAGACCTCTCTCTTTCTCTGCCTCTCCTCTGTCTGTGTAACTCTCACTTTTGAATAAATAAATAAATCTTTAAAAAAAAGAATATCACAAAAAAGAGTGGAAAAGTGGTTGTTAAACATCCTTAAAAATTCATGTACAATTTTCAGCATAGGAAATTAGAAAAAGTTGTTATTTGTGTAAAGGAAATAATTATTCAGTAACAAAACTGAGTTTATCCAACTTTAGTATTCAGATTAAGCCCCAACAAGCAATTAAGGATACCATCAATGTAAGGCATTTCCTACTCTGCAGGAAAAACTGAATTTTAATTCTGCTTAATGAATTTATAATGATTATTTAAATCAGAAATGTTCAATTTACTGTCAGCCTATTTTATTTCAAAATTTTGATAGACTGCTAAAATGTCAGATTTTGATTATTTTTTCCTGAAATTTCAAATGAGTTTAGAAAAAGCAAAATATCTAATCAGAAAGATGCATAATTTAAGAACATTTTAGCATTAATTTCTGTATTGTTGCATTTAATCTTTAAAATAATTCAACCTCATTTAAAGATTTTACTGTGAACGAACAACATATTTGTAGAAAATGGTCTAACACAATTGTTTGGTTATCAAAATTCTCATTTATCTTGTTTTAAAAACAAGATAAAATCGCAGGGGACTCACCCGACAATGTCTTAGGACAAGGGCTTCTTTCAGGTGAGTGGCAGCGGATGCTCTATGAATGTCGAGTCGACGTGACAATGCCGATGGAGTGCAGTGCAGAGCAGCCAACGGGACATTCACGACAGGTCTCTGGCCCTCTGAGAAAAGCTTTTTATTCTCCCAGATCTTGCCACTCCCAGCTCTCAGAAGGTCAAATGTGGGATCACAGCAGCACACAACCCCTACTGGGCAGGACCCACCCCTCTTAAGTTTTAGATTATTGGATATGAAAAGGAAAATAGTACCGGACCGGGAAAAGTGCTTACACGAAGATTTCTAACAAGTATTGAACTTTACTTCAGAGAAAAATTCGACTAGGTTGATGAATCTGAATTCATACCTTTAAAAAGCCTGATTTCAAAGATTTGTGACTTATCATGTTACCTTAAAGTAAAATTTGAAAATAAGTGTATTTGTTATAATCCTACTATTGACACAGTTGTTATGACAAGCAGTCATATGAGCTATGCTAACTTTATAAACCATTCTCAACAAATTCATATCAGTCACTCTAGTCATATTTCAAAAACTATAGTATTTTTCCTAAAGAAAGTGTTAAAAATAATCATAAAATGTTCTTAGGGCATAATTCCTCTTATAAGCTTCAAAAGTGAAGTTATTCTAAAATTCATTTAACTGGGGTTGCCGCTTTGGGGTAGCAGGTAAAGCAGCAGCCTGCAGTGCCGGCATCCCATGTGGGCACCGGTTCGAGGCTTGGCTGTACCACTTCCAATAGTGCTCACTACTATGTCCTGGGAAAGCAGTGGAAGATGGCCCAAGTCCTTGGACCCCTGCACCCGCATGGGAGACCTGGAAGAAGCTTCTGGCTCCTGGCTTCAAATCGGCCCAGCTCCAGGCATTGCAGCCATTTGGGAAGTGAACCAGCAAATGGAAGACCCCCCTCGCCCCACTTTGCCTCTGTCTCTGTCACTCTACCTTTAAAATAAATAAACAAACCTTTAAAAATCATTTAATTTACATTCCATTTATACATTTTAATCTGCAATAACATTTCTGAAGCACTAACACTATATTAGACACTACATGCATTATTTACTAAGCCTTCATAGAGGTGCCTTAAAGTAGGTATTATTATTCCCATTTTCACCTGAGGAAAATTAGACTTGGAAAGTGGAGAAGATGGAATTTAACAAAGGTCTTTATGACTCCAGAGCCATTGGATTCTCAGTATCCTAGTTTCCCATTAAAATATGGCCCTTCTTTGACCTCCAGTCTTCTTGGGCTTAATTTGCGTAAGCCCTTGGTAAACTCTCTGTCCAGGGATTGGGGTTTGAATCTCAATTTTTCCAACTGATGATTGAAGTCCTGCTCCAAAATTGAATGGCAGCCTTCTGTTGCCACTCACTTCTCCAGTTCCAATAATTGCAACAGCCTGGTCCTCATCTATCAGAACCCCCTGAATGCCCTTGATGTCTCTGGGGCTCATTTAGAAAACTTGCTGCCTATCTAAAGAGCCCATTCCAGAGTTGGGTCAGTGCCCTTAGCTCAGGTCCTGCTCAAGCTTCAAGTCACCACTTTTCCTACTACTCACTGTCAAGGTTTGACTCTACTTCAAGTAAGAGTCAGTACAAGTTTAAACAGTAACTATATGGAGTCTAGAAAGAGAGCTATATATTACTTATGCTCTGGGAAATTCTCTACCCTGGATAAACCTCAGTTAGAGTGTAATCCCATGGTCCATTTTAGAAATATTAGGGACAAATTGGGACACACCCTGAAGATACACACCAGTTTGGTGAAATGTTAAAAAATGTGACATATGAGGAATAGCTGAATGAAAATGGGAATAAAAAAAAAACTCAGGAAAAGAAAAGACTTACAATGAGTATTCATTTGTTTAAAAACTGCATTGACTATCTACTATCTGCAAGGACTGTGTTTGTCACTAAATTATTGAGAGACAAGACTTGTTCTCAACTCTAACACTTAACTTTAATGTGATGGTGTTCTAATTAGAGATAGGAACAGGGGCCAGCACCGTGGCTCACTTGGTTAATCCTCTGCCTGTGGCGCCGGCATCCCATATGGGCACCGGGTTCTAGTCCTGGTTGCTCCTCTTCCAGGCCAGCTCTCTGCTGTGGCCCAGAAGTGCAGTGGAGGATGGCCCAAGTGCTTGGGCCCTGCACCCCATGGGAGACCAGGAAGAAGCACCTGACTCCTGGCTTCAAACCAGCGTAGCTCCGGCCATAGCGGCCATTTGGGGAGTGAACCAACAGAAGGAAGACTTTTCTCTCTGTCTCTCTCTCTTACTGTCTATAACTCTACCTGTCAAATAAATTAAAAAGAGAGAGAGAGATAGGAACAAAGGCTTATAAAAGTACAGGGGAAGAGTGGATAATACTCCTGGATTTTTTGGAAATTGTTATACTGGGAAGCTGCAGTGTCCTCAAGGGTGATTTTGAGTTTTCTGTGGGAGCAGGTGAGAAAGGACATAAGTAAAATGTGGGCTTCACATTCTGCAAAGGACACTTGACCTTCCCACAAAGAAGAGCTATTGCTGCCAAGATTCATCACATAGTTTATCTGAACCATCAAGGACTGCAGAGGAAATCATTTAAGAATGAGAAGGCTAGGGGCTATGTGGGCATAGGAGGCTGATGACATTGGGAGAGAGAAGAGCTGAGCGTAGGCTTTTGCTTTGCAAAGCTCAGCCTTTCTTTGCAGTCTAAAGTTCTGTGAAGCTAGGAGCAGGCAACCTAGTGTCTTCCTCACACGTGCTGCTACCTCATGGGAAGTTCCATTTGAGACCAATACTTTTTCCTTCCATTTGCTCAAAAGGAATTACAAAATTTTAAACATACAAAAGATTAGAATGACTTTAGGGACTCAGCACCAAGAAGCTTCTAGGGTTGGAAGACCCACTACAGCTCTCCTCATTACATGTGTGGAATACACATTGGATGGTGTCATTTTAAAAAATCTATTGAGGTATGTCATTGGTATACAGAAATGTGTGTATATGTAATGTGTACAATGTGATGAGTCTGGGCATATGCATGCACCCATGAGCACATCACCACATCCAAGGTAACAGATACTTACAACCTCCCCACATTTCTTTGGATTTTCTCCTCACCCTTTTCCAAAGAATATTCAACATGAGACCTGCTCCCATAACAAAATTGAAAGTACACAGCACAGCACTGCTGACTGTAAGTCCTATGTTGCCCAACAGCTGTCTAGGACTTAGTCTGGACAGTGTTCATCTTACAGTGGCTCACTCTTTCTCTTTAAGCCCCTCTGTGGGTTCTCTAGTTACTGAGCTCCGTTTGATCTGTCAGAAAAAACTTCCTGACAGCTTCCCTTTACCAAACCTGCCTGTAGTTACAGACACGGAATAAAATGTTTAAGACATTTTCAAGTATTTTTTGTAGTAATCAGCTCCTTATTTTTCTCTCTCTGTAACCTTTTATTGATGTGCCTTGTGAATGTGGTTCTCTAATAGGCAGCATTTCATGAGTGATTAATCTCTTTACATTCATGGGCTAATATAAACCCTGGGATCCATTACACCTAATCCTTGAAGACCAAAGAAGCAGCCACCCTCACACAGAAGCTATTACTTGTTGCATTTTGTCCATGCTATCAATGCTCTTCCAGCCCTGCGTGTTTATGTGGATTGGAGACGTGTTAAGATGACCTGCACTGTTAGCACAGTGAGAAAGAGGCAGGGAAGGGGTGGGAGTTGAGGAAGGGGGATGCGGCCAGGGGGAATGGTGAGTTACTGGGTACTTAGGATGAGGCAGTCTTTCTAAATACAGGAAGGAACGTCTCTGTCTTGTTACAGTGTAAATCAAGGGCATCACATGGTAATGTCTTTAGATCTTTATTTGAAAAGATTTCTTGTGCAAATAAATGCTTCTGTAGTTTTTTTGTGTGACTTTGAGTCTCCTTCATTTCAAAGCTCCTTGAGGCGTGAGAATTTGGTGTAGCAATTAAGATGCCACTTGGAATGCCCACATACCATATTGTAGTGGCTGGGTTTTAGTCTCATCTCCATTTCCAATTTCAGCTTCCTGCTTATGCGCACCCTGGGAGGCAGCAGGAGATGGCTCAAGTATCTGGGTACTTGAGAGACATGGAAAGGCTGAGTTCCACACTCCTGACTTCAGACTAGTCTAACCTTGGCTATTGCGGCATCTGGGGGAGTGAAACCAGTGGATGGGAGATATCTATCTATCTCTCAATCTCTCACTTCCCCCACCCCTACGTTCAAATACACAAAAAATAAAATTTAAAAGTTCCTTGAAAAATTTTTTTTTTTGACAGGCAGAGTGGACAGTGAGAGAGAGAGAGACAGAGAGAAAGGTCTTCCTTTGCCGTTGGTTCACCTTCCAATGGCCGCCGCAGCCAGCGCGATGCGGCCGGCGCACCACGCTGATCCGATGGCAGGAGCCAGGAGCCAGGTGCTTTTCCTGGTCTCCCATGGGGTGCAGGGCCCAAGCACCTGGGCCATCCTCCACTGCACTCCCGGGCCACAGCAGAGGGCTGGCCTGGAAGAGGGGCAACCGGGACAGAATCCGGTGCCCCGACCGGGACTAGAACCCGGTGTGCCGGCGCCGCTAGGCGGAGGATTAGCCTAGTGAGCCGCGGTGCCAGCCAGTTCCTTGAAATTTAACCTACTTTCATCTTGTATGCTTTAACAAAGAAAGAAGTAGGCTCATTGATAGCCATCTCTCTCTCTCTCTCTCTCTCTCTCTCTCTCTCTCTCTCTCTCTCTTTCTTTTTGAACCATAAGGAAGATGGACAGCCAAAGCAATTTAATCAAGAAGTGAAATCTCAGATTGTCATTACTTTTCCAGTGAGCTGACCAGACCACTGATGTTAGTACTCTTGTTTGATTCTAAATATTTTCTCTTATTGTGTCCTAAATGAAATTATACTTTTCAAACCAAGTGTTCCAATTTGGAGTTCAGATAATATGGTCTCCTCAGTTAATGTGAATCTTCCTCTGGCTTACAGAGAAATATTTCTGCTTTACTCCCCTTTTACTTTGGTAGAGTGTCATGATGCAACTTATGATACTACAAAAATAAACCAATAAAATGACTTTCACATACCTTCTTAATGTTGAGGAGCCTAATTCTTTCCTTTGTTTAATTTTTACATTTTTATTATTTGAGAGACAGATAGACAAGTTCCCATCTGCTAGTTCATGCTCCAAATGCCTATGACAGTTAGAGGGACAAAAACTGGAAGCCACGAACTCAGTGTAGGTCTCCCACATGGGTGGCAGGGACCTGACTATTTGAGCCATCACTGCTGCCTTCCAGCAACTGCATGAGTAGGAAGCTGGAGCCAGAAGCCAGAGCCAGGAATCAAACCCAGGCACTTGGATGTGGGAGTCAGGCATCTTAACTAGTGTCTAACTGCTAGGCCAAATTCCTGCCTCTCCTTTATGTCTTTGAAACATATGGGGAAATAGCAGGGCAGTAAGTATTGATTTCCCAATAATGAAGTTCTAAGTCAAATCACCTGGGTACTCAGATTTCTGGATCAGGAATGCCAATACCATATCCTAAACTATGCTTTCAATTAAATACAGTAAAGATTTCCTGGGCACTTACAGTCAGGCAAGAAACAGTAGCAATTTTGCTGCTTATAACCTTCTTCCTGAATTTTATTGTCACATGACTTTTAAAATTTATGGCCTCTTAACCTTTTAGAGTTTTAAATCCCACATCTTGAAGTAGAATATAGCTTGGAAGGAAAGGGCTTTGGATATGAGCCATCATATGTGAAAGTGCTTTGCATATAATTGGCGGACAAAAAGCGCATGTCAGGGTTGTGAGTTTTGCAGAGCAGTCAAGATGCCTCCTGGGACACCTGTGTTCCATATCAGAGTGCCTGGGTGTCAGTCCTGGCTCCGCTTCCCATTCCATATCTCCTGCTATTGTGCACCCTGGGAGGCAGCAGGTGATGGCTCAAATACATCCACTTAGGAGCCCTGAAATGAGTTTCAGACTCCTGGCTTTGGCCTCGTTCCTCCCTGGCTGCTGCCAGCATTTGGGGAGTGAACCAAAGGATGGAAAATCTCATTCTGTCTCTAACTCTCTGCCTAATATAGCTATGAATAAAATAGAAGTATAAATATAATAATAAATATATTTTAAAAAATGCATGTTGAATCTAAATCTGAAACAAAAGGGTCCCAGGCCCATTCCTTCAGATGGGTCCAACTGGTTCAGCTCATTCCAGGAGTCCCCAGGAATAAACATGGAGAATACTGAACAACTTGGCCCAATCTGCTCTATGCCTTCCAGATTTGTCAACCCGGTTCCAAGAATTCTGAGGTAGAACAGTTATGATGTTCATAAAATCTATTCTGAATTTACTAATGGCACATGAGTTGTTGTAAAAACTTAAACTAAAACTAGGCATATCCTAGATTGTTGCTAACAATGTGTGCTAAATGAGATTGGAGAGTGGACTCTTAATCAAATTAACAAACCAACAGGCAGCCCCAGTAGCTGCGTGCTTCTCACGTCCATGCTGAAGCTTCATGCAGTGGAAACGCTCAGGACCTGGGTGTATAAGATGTGGGCCAAGTCCATAGCTCTGGTATTTACCAGCTGCACAATCCAGGATGCCATTTTACACAACAAAATCTTAGTTTCTACAGAAAAACAGGTATAAACTACCTCCATAGACCTATTTGACAATCATATAGGATAATGTACATGAAAGCACTTTGTCAACTACATAAATAGTATTGATTAGAAGCACAATAACAACATTTTTTATGAATCCTCTTAAAGTAATACAATTCTAGTCTGTACCTTTCCGTTTCCTCTTTGCTGATTTTGGGCATTTCAAACAAATTGGAGAGTTGTTATAAATGATAATCCCAGAATGCTACTGACTTCAACTTCCAACAGTGAAAAGAATCTTCAACATGGCCTAACTGAAAAACAAAACAAAACAAAACAAATGTCCTGAAGAAGGGTCTATGGGAGGCAAAGAGAGGCATGAAGATGAGACTGTATTTCCTGTCCGGGGGCATTTTTCAAAGGTCTAAGGCACAGCAAAGTGTGTTAAAGGCACTGTGCAATTTAATTCCAAACATACTCAAGTGGTTGGTTAGTTTGTGAAATCACTTGAAGGGAAGATCAGAGGGGAAACAGCAATATATATGGAATGAGAAGATCTAAGTTCAGATCCTGGAATCACCAGGCTTGACAGATTTATCAAATAAAACATAAAGATGCTCAGTTAAGCTAGAATGATTTCTAATTGCCTATGCATATGTACACTGAGGTAAAAGAAAAATACTGCATGGGAAATACTTACACTAAAAGTATTTCTAGTGAATCTAAAGTAAATTGCAAGTATCTAAATTGTATGCTGCTTTAATTATATTTTCCTGATAATCTGGCTCTTTTTAAAAAGATAAATTTATTTGGCCGGTGCCGTGGCTCACTTGGTTAATCCTCCACCTGTGGCGTCGGCATCCCATATGGGCACTGGGTTCTAGTCTTGGTTGCTCCTCTTCCAGGCCAGCTCTCTGCTGTGGCCCAGGAGGGCAGTGGAGGATGGCAGAATTTAAATCTACATCTCTCATGTCCCTGGCTTTTTTACTTTATATTATACTGCAGAGAGCAATGATCGATTGAATGGAAGCAGAGAATTCACCCAGGATCTGTGTGCTGAGGTTGAGGGCCTGTGTTGGAAGGCATGACACTACAGAGAAAGCGAGGCATACACTCTGACCTTGAGGAAAGTAGGTTCTAGCGTGAGCGACAGACAAGTATGATTTATGATAATACCAGATCCGCTGGGGTGGGGAGGAGGGCAAACGTGACAGTTACTGTAGGTAGTAAGAAGTTTCAAGGTCAGCTGTCTACACTTGTGTGCAGTCTCTGCAGATAGGAAGATTATTTCTTTTTACCTGAATGAGTATTAAAGGATTAACATCTTCACTTCTTTTCAGGTGTAACTAGGATGATATGCACAAGTGGTAAAGCTGACGCTCTTTTATCTAGTATAAAGATTTCTGTCTATAGTTGCTTAGCTGTAAATGATTTGCTTGTCACTAAATAGCTTAGTTGACAATTTGTTTTTAAGCTTGGATTCAGCAAAATACGCATATCATCCATTACTCAAAGTATAATTATATAATGATAGTTATATTTACAAAGCACTTATTATATGTTAAGTACTATTCTTTATTCTCTTTTTATTTATTTGAAAGGGAGAGAGAGAGAGAGAGAGATCCTTCCTCTGCTGGTTCACTCTCCAAATGGCTGCAATGGCTGAGCCAGACCAGGCTGAAGCCAGGAGCCTAGAACTCCACCTGAGTCTCCCACGGGCTACCCTCTGCTGCCCTCCCAGGTACAACAGCAGGGAGCTGGATTGGAAGCAGGGCAGCCAAGACTCAAACCAGTGCTCTGATATGAGATACTGGTGGCTCAACCTGATGCATCACAATCACCACAATGCTGGCCTGCTAAGTACTATTCTTTTTTTTTTTTCTTTCCTTTTTTATTTTAAAAATTCTATTTTATTTATTGCAAAGGCAGAGTTACGGGGGGAGGGATCTTCCATCCATGTGTTCTCTCCTTAAATGGCTGCAATGGGCCAGGCTGAAACCAGGAACCTGGAACTCCAGCCAAGTCTCCCATGTGGGTGGTAGGGGCCCAAGCACTTAGGCCATCCTGCACTGCCTTCCCAGGCACATTATCAGGGAGCTGGATTGGAAGTGGAGCAGCCAGGACTCAAATAGCCAGTCATATGGGATGCAGGCATCCTAGGCAGTGACTTAACCTGCCAAGCCACAACGCTGGCCCCCATGTACTATTTGAAATGCTTAATAAATACCTCACAACAACCTTGAAGTAGGCCTGTTTTACCACCTATTTTATAACCTCTATTTTATGAAGCATAAAAAAGTTAAAAACTTGTCTAGGTTATCCAACTAGTATGTGGCAGAGACATGATTTGAACAGAAGCAGTTTGACTCTAGAACTCATACTTAGGAGCTGGCACTGTGATGCAATGGGCTAAGCTGACACCTGTGATGCCCATATCCCACATCAGAGCACTGGTTTGAGTCCTGGCTGCTCCACTTCTGATCCAGCTCTCTACTAATGTGCCTGGGATGGCAGTGGAAGACAGGCCAAGTGCTTGGGCCCCTAGCACTCATGGGGAGACACAGATGGAGTTCCAGGCTCCTGGCTTTGACCTGGCCCAGTCCTAGCCATTGTGGCCAATTGGGGGAGTGAATGGTAGATCTCTCTTCTCTATCTCTGTCTCTCTCTCTATAACTCTGCCTTTCAAATAAATTAAAAAATCTAAAAAAAAAAAAACCACACTTATAATAACTTGTCGTCCATCTACCCCCAACACACATCAACACTTAAGTAACATATTGAAGCATACTCACTCATAGCATAATTTATATTTGAGGAAATATATTTTTCTAGTCTCTAACGTTACTCTTGTTTTCTCAGACTCCCCAAATGCTAATTAGCAGGAGCATACAAAATTCTCTATTTCATTTAGTTTAAGAATGAGTTCAATCATTCACCATCACCAAGTAGGATTTATTGCTAACATGCAAGTACAGTTTAACATACAAAAGTCAATTAATGTAATACCTGATACTGAAACATTGGGAGGAATCATAATTTCCTCAACTGATGCAGAAAAAGCATTTAACAAAATTCAACATCCTTCATGATTAAAAAAATATACTAGCACTAGAAGGAAATTATCTCAACATAATAAAGGCTTTATATGAAAAACACATAGCTAATACTATATTCAATGGTGAAAGACTTAAATATCTTTCTCTAATACCATGGACAAAACAACAATGTTTACTTTTGCTACTTCTACTCAATATATTGCTGAAAATTCTAGGCAGAGCAACTAGGCAAGAAAAAGAAATAAAATCATCCAAATTGGAAAAGAAAAATAATTGTCTGTTTCCCAAGGACATAATCTTAGATTAAAGTTCCCCTAAAACAACTTTTGGGACTAATAAATTCAGCAAAGTTGTACCATGCCAAATCAACATATGAAACCCAGTTGTACTTTTTTTTTTAAAAAAGTGGTTTTTTTTTGTTTTTTGTTTTTTTTTTTTTTTTACAGGCAGAGTGGACAGTGAGAGAGAGAGAGACAGAGAGAAAGGTCTTCCTTTTGCCGTTGGTTCACCCTCCAATGGCCACCGCGGCCGGTGCGCTGCGGCGGGCGCACCGCGCTGATCCGATGGCAGGAGCCAGGAGCCAGGTGCTTTTCCTGGTCTCCCATGGGGTGCAGGGCCCAAGCACCTGGGCCATCCTCCACTGCACTCCCTGGCCACAGCAGAGAGCTGGCCTGGAAGAGGGGCAACCGGGACAGAATCCGGCGCCCCGACTGGGACTAGAACCCGGTGTGCCGGCGCCGCTAGGCGGAGGATAGTTTTTTTAGTTTTTAACAAATTCAATATAGTTCATAGATACAATTGTAGCAGTATAATGATATTCCCCTCTTTCTTGGCTCCCTACCTTCCCCTCTTTCCCTTCCACACTTCTTCTTTCTCCCCCTTTCTTTCTTTCTTTCTTTCGTTCTTTCTTTCTTTCTTCCTTTCTTTCTTATTTTGGTTTTGGGATAATATATTCTTAATTTATATTACAGCCAAGGGTTTAATGCCCCACTAAATAAAATGCTTAGCAAATAAAAAGCAAAAGACCCTAGTTTAGTGAGAATATAGGCAAGGGATATAAACAATAGTTGGAAAAATGACCATTTCACCCACATATAGTAAATTTTAAAGTAATCACAGATCGTTAAAACTATAGCAATATAACATGATTAACCACTAGTTTGACAAAAGTATAAAACAAAGACTGACAAAACTACATTTGCAACAATTCTGATACACAGAGACATTTAGTTCTCTTTTTTTCTCTTTTTCTTTTAGCTCTCATATCTAAGGGAGAATATGTGGTATTTGTCTTTGTGTGTCCAACTTATTTCATTCAACATTATGTCCTCCAATTGCATCCATTATTGCAAATGGTAGAACTTCATTTTTTATAGCTGAATAATATTCCATTGTGTACTTATACGTATGCCACATTTTCTTTATCCATTCATCTGATGATGGACATCTTGGTTGATCCCATATTTGGCTATTGTGAATAGTGCTACTAGGAACCTCTTTGATACAACACGCTCATGTCTTTTGCATATATAGCCAGAAGTGGGATCGCTGGATCATATGGCAAGTGTATTTCCAGTTTTCTAAGAAATCTCTATACTGTTTTCCAAAGTGGCTGCATTAATTTACATTCCTATCAACAGTGTATCTGTATTTCCCTTTCTCCACACACATGTTGGCATTTTTAACTCTCTGTCTTTAATATTTTTGCTGTTCTGACAGGAGCGAGGTGATGCTTCCTGGTGATTTTGATTTGTATTTCTCTGCTGGCTAGAGATATTGAGCATTATTTCATATATTTGTAGGCCATTTGTATTTCTTTCGAGAACTGTCTATTGAGGTCTTTCTTTATGCTAATAACTAACAATCTAAGAAGGAAAAAAAGCAGTTCTATTTGCAATAGTATTTAAAAAATAAAGTACTTAGAAATTAACTTAATAAAGGAGGTAAAACATTTATACAGTGATGTTTTTTAAAGATTTATTTATTTACTTAAAAGGCAGAGTTAGAGAGAGAGAGATATCTTCCATCTGCTGGTTCACTCCTCATATGGCTACAGTGGCCAGAGCTGGCCAACCTGAAGCCAAGAGCCAATAGCTTCATCCGACTCCCACTTGCATGGAAGGGATCCAAGCACTTGGGCCTATCAAAATCCCAACAGTATTTTCTGCAGAAATAGAAAACTCCATCCCATAATTCATATGTAATCTCTAAGTGTCCTCAATAGCTAAAACAATCTTGGAAAAAAGAGAACAAAGTTAGAAAATTTTTGATTTCAAAACTTATTACAGAGCTATGAAAATCAACACAACATGGTAGTAGCTTGAATACAGATATATAGAACAATGGAATAAGCTAAAGAGCCTGGAAACAATTTCTTACTTATATGGTGAAATGACTTTTGACAATGATGCCAAGACCATTTTTTTTCCCCTTCCCTGCCCTGCCCTGTCCTTCCCTTCCCTTCCCTTTTTGCCAAGACCATTTCAATGAGGAAAATATGGTCTTTCAAACAGTCCTGGGAAAACTTGATACACGTGTGTGCGCATGTATACACACACAAGGAGAGCAGAACAGAAAAAAAAAAAAAAAAAAAGAGGACTGGGGCCAGCACTGTGTCAAAGCAGGTAAAGCCATTGCCTCCAGTGCCAGCATCCTATATGGGCAATTGTTCAAGTCCTGGCTGCTTCACTTCCAAACCAGCTCTCTGCTAATGCACCTGGGAAAGTAGCAGAAGATAGCTAAAATACTTGGGGCCCTGCAACCACAGGGGAGACCCAAAAGAAGCTCCTGGCTCCTGGCTTCAGATCAACCCGGCTATGGCTATTGCTGCCACTTGGGGAGTGAACCAGCAGATGGAAGGTCTCTTTCTCTCTATACCTCTGCCTCTCTGTGACTGTGCCTTTCAATAAATAAACAAATAAATAAATAAATCTTTAATTTTTTTAAAGAAGTAACCTTACCTACACCCATACAAAAATTAGCTCAAAATTGACCAAACACCTGAACCCAAGAGCTAAAACCATAAAACTTTGCAAAAAACAGGGAAACATAGAATGTCCTGTTTGGCAATGATTTCTTGGAAATGACATCAAAGTATAAGCAGCAAAAGGAAATGACAGATAAGTTGGACTTCATCAAAATTAAAAACATTGTTCATAAGAGGACATCATCAATACAGCAAAAATGCAATTCAAAGAATGGAAGAAAATACTGGCAAATGATATACTCATCTGATGTCTTAGTGCAGGCTGCAAACTACCGTAGACTGGATGACTTAAAGTTCAGACATTTATTTCTCACGGTTCTGAAGGCCAGAAGTCCTACAGCAGAGCTCCAGCACAGTCAAGTTCTTAACGAGAGCCCTCTCTTCCACATTGTGTCCTCACGTGGCATTTCCTTGGTGCCTGCACAAAGAAAAAGAGATCATGTATCTCTTCCACATTTTGAGAAAGAAATTAATTAGTAATTTATTTTATTTATTTGAAAGACAGAGAGAGAGAGACATAAAGCTCCCATCTGCTGGTTCACTCCCCAAATGCCTGTAACAGCAAAGGCAGGGTTAGGCTGAAGTCAGGACTTGGAAAGTCAATCTGGGTTTCCATCATGGGTGGCAGGGCCCATGTATTGAGCCATCAACTGCTGCCTCCTAGGGTGCACATTAGCAGAGAGCTGGAATTAGAAGCTGAGCTGGGACTCAAACACAGACAGGTACTTCGATATGGGACGTCGGTGTCCTAAGTATCACCTTAACTGCTAGGCCACATGATTGCCCTTCTTCCACTTTTTATAAGGATGTTAATCCTATTACAGAAGCTTCATCCTTACATCCTAATCTAACTCTGACTACCTTCCATAGCCCACTTCCAAATACCATCAAATTGAGGATTAAGGTTTCAATACAGGAATTTTGAGGGACACAGACATTCACTCTATAGCATCTGATGAGAGACTGATATCCAGAAAGTATGAAGAAGGAAACAGTTGTTGCACAATTCAACAACAAAGACAACCCAGTAAAAAATTAGGTAAAGATCTGAATAGACATTTCTCCAAATAAGATATATAAATGGCCAATAAACACATGAAAATATGCTCAACATCAGTAGTCATTAGGGAAATACAAACCCAAACCAAAATGAAATAGCACTTTGAACCAATTAAAATGGCCATTATTTAAAAAAAAAACCAACTGAAAAACAGAAAATAACAAATAGTGATGAGGATGTGGAGAAATTGGAACCCCATGTACTACTGATGAAAATATAAAATTGTGTACCTGCTGTAGAAGACAATGTAATGGTTCCTTAAAAAAAAAAAAAAAAAAAAAAAAAAAAAAAAAAACCATTCAATTAGTGATCCAGAAATTCCACTTCTGGATATATAACAAAAGAACTGAAAGCAGGAATTTGAAAAGTTGTTTGCATATCCATGTTCATAGTAGTGTTATCTTAAAGGTGGAAGCAAGTATCCACTGGCAATTGAATAGATAAAGTGTAGTACTCTACCTGATGGTTTACTCCACTATTGGCCGCAACGGCTGGAGCTGCACCTATCCGAAGCCAGGAGCCAGGGGCTTCTTCCTGGTCTCCCATGTGGGTGCAGGGGCCCAAGGACTTGGGCCATATTGTACTGCTTTCCCAGGCCATAGCAGAGAGCTGGATGGGAAGAGGAGCAGCCAGGACTAGAACCGGCGCCCATATGGGATGCTGGCGCTTCAGGCCAGGGAGTTAACCCACTGCGCCACAGTGCTAGGCCCCAATAAAGTGTGATACTCTAGTTACCCTTCCCCCACTTACCCTCAGTTTCAGTTACGTGCAGTCATCCACAATCTGAAAATATGTTTTTCTTAGGACTTATTTTATTTATTTAAAAGGTAGAGTTATAGAGCGAGTGAGCAAGTGAGCGAGTGAGAGAGACATCTTCCTCTGCTGGTTCATTCCCCAAATGGCCACAATGGTTGGAGCTGGGCCAGCCTGAAGCCAGAAGCATGGAATGCCATACAGGTCTCATGTGTGGGTGGCAGGTCTCACCTGGGCTATCACCTGATATTTTCTCATATGCATTAGCAGAGAGCTGGATCAGAAGTAGAATAGCTGCATTTTGAATTGGCCCCCATATGGGATGCTGGGCAGCAGCTTAACCAGCGATAGTGGAAGAAGCTTAACCCCCAACCATCATAGTGGCCCCCATAGTCTGAAAATATAAAATGAGAACTTGTAGTAAAAAAGATTCCTAAGTTTTAAATTGTGTGCCATTCTGATTAGCATGAAGGAACCTCATGCTATCCCACACCATCCTAACTGGGACATGAATCACCCTTTCATCTAGCATTATCCATATTCTCCTGTGTACACTGCTCACTTGCTAATCACTGTCTAGCCATATGGACTCTCAGATTGACTATCTGTGCATGTGTACCTGGCCCCTCTGTGAAATCAAGATCTGTTTCTTACTAAGTTTCCAGTGGCCTCTCCTTGCTGAGTTAGCTTCCCTTGCCTCTAAGTGATACAGTTTATGCCCTCAGTCTCCGTCACATGGCCTGAGATATCCACTGCCCATGCCCTTGCTGCTGAAGTGTTTCACTCATGCTATTGTAAACCCATGCCAGAACCATCGGCCTTTGACTTAGTGTCTCTGACACAGGGACACCAGGGGGCAAACTGAATAAACCCTCTCTCTGCCTGACCAGGCCTCTCAACTCAATTATGTTGCAGCTTCTCTTCTTGAATGGAGCCATGGAGAACAGTAATTCCCTTCTATTTCCAAACAGGGACCAGGGCAACAACTCTTCTTTGAGTTGATCCTAAATTATTCTACGTCTCTCTGTCTTAAAGAAAATCCATCCCCTTTCTTCTCCTCTTCTCTCATTGCTTCAGTCTTTCTTCCTCTTCTAACAAGCCTCCTTCTCACATTTAGGTCACCAGTAGTAGGATTTTGCTTCCATTTCTCTATGTCATAGTATCATACTACTGGGCAGCACACACACTCACACTAGCTAGTCATGGTCAGTGGAAGGATTATCTTGTAATTGTATAGGAGGAACACCATGGTCTAATTCTTCAGATGTAACCTGTGATATGTTAAATACAAGCTAAATGAATTTGCAATGCTCATTCTCTTGCAAAGCCAGGCTTCCTTCCTATAATATCTCAGCTTGACATTCAAATTGCTGGATTTTACTTGTTTCTTCTTTTTTGTAATCCTTCCACAACAAATCCCAGCCTGTCTCAAGGAGATGATGTTTAGGTGCTATTACATAGAGAATGTCAAACATCCAGAAATGCAATAAACAGATGCACACTAATGTCATGTCAAAAAATATTACTCTTGCATTTGTATCTTGCTTCAAAGGTCTCTCTTCCAGTTCTACCATTCAATTCACTTCAAATACTCTGCATCTGGGTATTGGCACTAACTAACCTCCAGATGATCCATCCTTCACATGGTAACCAGAGCGGTCACTTAGAAGCAGCAGGTCACATCATGTGCCCACTTAAAACCCTCTGATGACTTTGCACTCCAATTAGAGTAAAATCCAAACTTCCAACCATTCCCAAAGAAGCCTGGGAGGAAGCGACCTCTGACCATCTCTCCTCTCTTCCCTTTCCTCCCCCTTTTCTACTCTCCAGTGCCTGCCTTCTCTCTGCTCCTAAACATGCCAAGTTCATTAAGGTCTTTGCACTTGCCATATCTTGCCTGGAATGCTTTATCCCTAGGTCTTCGCATAGCTAATCTTTGCTACTTGACTTTCAACTCAAATGTCATATAACCTGACTTTCCAATCTAGCATATCTAGCCCCTACCCTAACACACACACACACACACACAAAACACTAGCTCTATCCTATATCTCTGTTTATTTTCCTTAGTGAATTGGTCACTATAGTATTTATTTGCTCACTGGCTTTCTTAAAATAGAGGCTGGCACACAGGAAGCCTTCACTGAATATTTATCAAATTAATCATTCTGTAGGCATTTACCTTTTTAGAGACTTTCATTGGAACATAATTCTAAAACTAACCATGTATTAGTTAACATTATAAAACTGTGATTTTGAAGCCTACCTTAAAAGTTCAAGATCTCTTAATAAGATCATGTGTTTAGATTGTCTACTATGTATCTGGCACAATGTCAATATTTGATACAAAATTATAGAGAGTTGAGTGCAGATGTACCCAATACCTATAGGTGCCTGCCATAGATGATAGGGCTAGTCCCACACCTAGACAGATCTGGTTATCAAGGCACTGAAAGTGGCAGTCAAGAACAGAACCCAGACCGGCGCCGTGGCTCACTTGGCTAATTCTCCACCTGCGGTGCTGGCACCCCGGGTTCTAGTCCCGGTTGGGGCGCCGGGTTCTGTCCTGGTTAGTTGCTCCTCTTCCAGGCCAGCTCTCTGCTGTGGCCTGCAAGTGCAGTGGAGGATGGCCCAAGTGCTCGGGCCCTGCACCTACATGGGAGACCAGGAGGAAGCACCTGGCTCCTGGCTTCAGATCGGCGCAGCGCTCAGCCGCAACCTGCCGGCCATAGCGGCCATTTGGGGGGTGAACCAACGGAAAGATAGACCTTTCTCTCTGTCTCTCTCTCACTGTCTAACTCTGCCTATCAAAAACAAACAAACAAACAAACAAACAAACAAAAAAAAACAGAACCCAAGTCAGGGGCTCTTCCCAATATCTCCCTATGCTCCTTACCTCATCTTCCAGGCTGTGGCACTTGCAGGCTAAGTCATCAGTGCGACTCACAACAGGGAGCTATGGAGGCTCAGAGACATCCTTTCAGGAAGGTACAGAGCTGTGTGATATTTTTTGACAGCTGTAGACTTCATTTCATATGGAATTCTTTCTTTTGCCATGAATCCCCTCAGTCAGTCCTTAAATGATCTGAAATACAAGAGAGGAATTAACTATTTAAGTGTGTAGGAACTATGAGGGCTTAACCAGCAATGAACAGTATCATGTCTCTTTGAGCCAGTTACCATGCAGATTTCTCTTGGTTTGTCCATGACAAATTCCATCCACCTTACAATTGTCTTATGATTCCACTTAATTCCAAGTTATTAATTTCTAGAACCAATGAAAAGCATTTAAGTTTTCTTCCACTTTAGTTTCCTATGGCTTACCTATGGTTACAGTCAATTTTGCACTGATGTTAGGTGTCACATATTAATTAATGAGCACTGCAGCACCACCACTCCTGCTCCCCTCTCCCCCCACAGGAGTGCATTTTCTTCCAAGACTTCATCCTTACAAAATCTCCTCTTCTACACTTCTTCTTACTCTAGAAGTGGGTATCATGGAATCATGGAATGTGGTTTCTCTTATTTCCTTTGTAAATTCCATCTATGGAAATTTGTTTCATATACACTTTGATATCTGTCTGTACCTAGCACTTTGATGCAAATTAAGGTAAGAAGTGCCTTTCAAATATGCTATTATGTCGTCCCTTAAGGCATTCGGATCTGGCTAAAAAGACCATGAGAGTATTTCAGGCATGGAAAGCCTGTGGCAAAAAAATGACCTACATGAAAGATCTCTGTGAGTGAGATCCCAGCGGAAAGAAGGGGCCATCAAAGAAGAAGGTACGTTTCTCTGAAGGGAGGAGAGAACTTCCGCTTTGATTATGGTCCTGTCTAAATAAGGGCAGAGTTTGTGAACTCAAGAGGCTTCCATAGCCGTGGCAGCTCATGACAAGAGCCTCGGGTGATTACTGACATAATAAATAAGAGTGTCAATTGTTAAATCAACAACAGGAGTCACTGTGCACCTACTCCCCATGTAGGATCTCTGTCCTTAATGTGCAGTACTATGCAAATTAACGTTAAAACTAGTCTTCAAACAGTACTTAATACTTTGTGCATCTGTGTGGGTGCAAACTGTTGAAATCTTTACTTAATATAGAGTTGTCCTCTATATATAAAGATAATTAAAAATGAATCTTAATGAAGAATGGGATGGAAGAGGGAGTGGGAGATGGGATGGTTTGTGGGTGGGAGGGTGGTTATGGGGGGAAGAATCACTATAATTCAAAAGTTGTACTTTCGAAATTTATATTTATTAAATAAAAGTTTTCTATAAAGAGATATAAAATATTGTATTATGCTATTTATATTCATTATCTAATATTGCATTACAATTATCTCAAAACTTGGGTCTTAAAACAACCATAATTATTTTTGTTTTTGTTTTATGGTTGCTGAGGTCAAGAATTCAGGAGAGTGCTGGATGGGCAGTTTTGTCTTATGTCTCCCATGAGGGTGCAGTCAAGATGTTGGCTTATCTAGTGGAGGATCCACTTCCAAGGTGATTCACTCATATCTTAGGGAAGTTTAAATAGTTTGTGGAAAATGCACTTTATCTTTTGATTCCATTTTCCATGCACTTTTTGAAGTACATTGTACCTAACAAGTAGGTGCTGGCTATTAATGGAGGGCCTTGGCTCCCCTATACCTGAACCTCTCTATGAGGCGTGGGCCTCCTCACTGGATGGTGTGGTAGGTGATGTTCAAAGGCAAGGAACTTGAAAAAGAAATATTAAGGGGAAGCCATATTCTTTCTTTTCCTAACAACATCATTGAGATATAACTAACAATTCATCCATTTAAAGTACATAATTAAGGGCTGGCGCCATGGCGCAGTAGGTTAATCCTCTGCCTACGGCACCAGCATCCCTTGTGGGCGCCGGGTTCTGGTCCCGGCTACCCCTCTTCCAGTCCAGCTCTCTGCTGTGGCCCGGGAGGGCAGTGGAGGATGGCCCAAGTGCTTGGGCCCTGCACCTGCATGGGAGACCTGGAAGAAGCACCTGGCTCCTGGCTTCAGATCAGCGCAGCTCCGGCTGTAGTGGCCACTTGGGAGTGAACCAGCGGTCAGAAGACCTTTCTCTCTGTGTCCCCCTCTCACTAACTCTACCTCTCAAATAAATAAATAAAAATCTTTAAAAAATTTTTAAAAATAAAGTATATAATTTTTTAAGGATTTATTTATTTATTCAAAAGTCAGAGTACACAGGGAGAGGAGAGGCAGAAAAACAGAGAGGTCTTCCATCTGATGGTTCACTCACTCCCCAATTGGCCGCAATGGCCAGAACTGTGCCAATCCAAAGCCGGGAGCCAGAAGCCAGGAGCCAGGAGCTTCTTCCAGGTCTCCCATGCAGGTAAAGGGGCCCAAGAACCTGGGCCACTTTCTACTGCCTTCCCAGGCCATAGGAGAGAGCTGGATCAGAAGTGGAGCAGCTGGGTCTCGGACCAGTACCCATATGGGATGCCAGCACTTCAGGCCAGGGCATTAACCCACTGCTCCACAGCGCCAGCCCCATAAAGTAGATAATTAAATGTTTTAGCATGTTCATGAGGTTGTACAACCACCACTACAATTTAATTTTAGAACATTTCAATTCCCTCCTAAAAAAAGACCCCTACTCATTATTTGTCATTTCCCATACTTTCCCCACAGTTTTCCCACTCCCTCCTCCAAGCTGAACACAAAAAATATCTCTATGGATTTGCATACTCTGGATATTTCATGTAAATAGGACCATACGATATATGTTCTTTCATTACTGGATTCTTTCACTTAATATTTTCAAGGTTACGGGGCCAGCGCTGTGGCACAGAGGGTTAACACCCTGGCCTGAAGCACCGGCATCCCATATGGGCACCAGTTCTAGTCCCAGCTGCTCCTCTTCCAATCCAGCTCTCTGCTGTGGCCTGGGATAGCAATGGAGGAAGGCCCAAGTCCTTGGGCCCCTGCACCCACGTGGGAGACCCAGAAGAAGCTCCTGGCTCCTGGCTTCAGATCGGCACAGCTCCAGCCGTTGTGGTCAATTGGGGAGTGAACCATTGGATGGAGGAAGACTTCTCTCTCTCTGCCTCTCCTCTCTCTGTGTGCAATTCTGACTTTCAAATAAATAAATCTTTTTTTTTTTTTTTGACAGGCAGAGTGGACAGTGAGAGATAGAGACAGAGAGAAAGGTCTTCCTTCCCTGTTGGTTCACCCTCCAATGGCCGCCGCGGCCGGCGCGCTGCAGTCGGTGCACCGCGCTGATTGAAGGCAGGAACCAGGTGCTTATCCTGGTCTCCCATGGGGTGCAGGGCCCAAGCACTTGGGCCATCCTCCACTGCACTCCCGGGCCACAGCAGAGAGCTGGCCTGGAAGAGGGGCAACTGGGAAAGAATCCGGTGCCCCGACCAGGACTAGAACCCGGGGTGCCGGTGCCGCAAGGCAGAGGATTAGCCTAGTGAGCCGCGGCGCCGGCCCAAATAAATAAATCTTAAAAAAAATATTTTCAAGGTTACAGGAAATATCAATACTTCATCTTATTGACAAATAATATTCCATTATATGAATATACCACATCTTATTTATCCATTCATTAGTTGAACATTTGAGTTGTTTCCACTTTTTAGATGTTATGAATGATGCTGGTATAGGCATTCATGTATAAATTTTTTTTTAAGATTTATTTATTTATTTTAAAGTCAGAGTTACACACAGAGAGAAGGAGAGGCAGAGGGAGAGAGATCAGTCTTCCATCCACTGGTTCACTCCCCAGTCGGCCTCAATGGCCAGAGCTGCACCGATCTGAAGCCAGGAGCCAGGAGCTTCCCTGGGTCTCCGATGAGGGTGCAAGGGTACAAGGACTTAGGCCATTCTCTATTGCCCTCCCAGGCCACAGCAGTGGGCTGGATCAGAAGTGGAGTAGACGGAACTCAAACCAGCACCCAAATGGGTTGCTGGCATTGCAGACGGTGGCCTCACCCACTACGCCACAGCGCTGGCTCCCATGTATAAAGTTTTTTATCCTTTCAAGTGTCCTTGGTACATGCCTAGGGTATAGAAATGCTGGGTCATGTAGCTCTACATTTAACATTTCCAGGAACTCTCAAACTGGACCATTTTATAGTCTCACTGTCATATGTGAGAGTCCAGTTTTTCCATGTCTTTATTGGTATTGTCTTTCTGAGGATTACAGTCATCCCAGTGGCTGTGAAATGCTATATTATGCTTTTGATTTGCATTTCCCTGATGACAAATGAGTCTCTCCTCAAATGTTTATTGGCCACATATAGGAGAGTACATCAAAAAATTTCCAGAAAAAATAATGAAATTAAAAGATAATTCAGGGGTGCATGTTCAGCTTAGTAGTTAAGACCCCTGTATTCCACAGCCGAGTGCATGGGTGAGTCCCAGTGCCACTCCAATTCTGGTTCCTGCTAACACATACATATCTTGGGAGGCAGCAAGCCATGGCTCAAGTGGGTGGGCTGCTGCCTCACCTGCTTGTGTGTATTTTCCAAAAGACATGAGGATAAACCAAGCACTTGGAAAAATGAAGGGAATGGGGTGGGAGGTGGCAGGATGGATTGGTGCAAGTGCGGCAGAATCTTCATAACTGTTGTATCTGGATGATTCATGTATTAGGGTTAGTATACTGCTTTCTACTTTTATATAGGCTGGAATAATTCGCTAAAAACAAATAATCTGTAGCTGATGTTTAAATACTGAAAAAATTATTAAAACCTTTTAACAATTTTTATTTGTATATAGCTTAGGCTAAAAGCAAAATATTTTAGCAAAAATTTGAGTATTTGGTGAGCCTCAGAAGCAGAGAATAATAAGTCTGAAAAAGAAGCCATTTCAGACAATGGAAATGTAAGGTAATGAGGGGCACATGGTATCAGAGCAAGTGAACACTTGTAAATAGGGATCTCTGCTAATAGAAAACAAGCCATTAGGGCCAGCATTGTGGCACAGTGGGTTAAGGGCCGCCTGTGAAGCTGGCATCCCATATGGACATGGGTCTGAGTCTTGGCTGCTCCATGTCTGATCCAGCTTCCTGCTAACGCATCTGAGAAAGCAGTGGGGAATGGCCCAAATACTTGGGT